AATCATTATATTAAAGCAACATGCAGGTGGCACCACAGTCGAGAGATCGACATGCCCGCCCTGACATATTCAGGCCTCTGGCGCCACCTTCCCACACACAGCATCAACATGCATGCCAGGACGCCCACTGCTCGGGTGAAAGCTTCGCATGAGGTCATTATCCACCTGCGCTTGTCACTACAGCTGTTTACAAGACGGCCGCCTTTGAAATGTGACCTTCCGCAGCACACGTACCACTCAACAACGGCGGGAGATGGGGGGAGGGGGTATAAATCATTTGGGGGCCATTTCCGAGCGTGTCTCCTGTGGGGGAGGACCGTCTAGCAGTCTGACACTCCCACAGGGAGTGAAACAGGCTCGGGACCGATTACACCCAGGGGCAGACATTAATATCTAGCTCAGCTAATGAAACCGTTTTCACCTTCTCAAAGCATTCTGCACCACGTAACGGTGCAAGTTGACAAGCGTGGAGAAAATGGCAAACACAGGTATTCGTAACACAGGATGGCTTGCGTTTAACAGAGGGGGGGCAAATCCACAGTTATGGGAGTAACTTTAAGGGCACCTCGCTGGTACGTCCGCGCCAGGACACGGGACCGATGGGCAGAAAGCCAACCAGGGAACATCAGAGTGGAACGCTCAGAAAACATGCTTAACAGCCTCCGCAGAGAGTGCAAGGAAGCATTTATGAGGGACCTCAGTGGTCCCCACAATGTAATACATACACGACCGCTCACACATCACTGTCCACACACACTCTGCAGTCAGCCTTAAGGCACTTTAACCGGAAATAATGGCAGCTGGTGATGAGGCAGAGAGGTGCCAGGTAACAGCTGTTGTACTCATGAGCTGGGAAATGACCAAAAGTAAAACGACGAGCTAAAATGGAAGCGTCTCTGCATCTGAGCAAGAAATAAGAATGGCACCAGGGACCTGATGGCCCCCCTACCTCCTCGCTGGGCGCCATGGCGTCGGTTCCACGATGGTTGACCGTGTTTCTGCCCAGCTCCCTGTAGTAGTCCCCAGTGCTGGGCTGTTTGCTGAAGTTACGGGATTTCCGGTTGGAGTCGATTCGGCGTAGACTGTTCGGGTTTTCACTGGTCCTTAACTGCGTCATGGGGGGGGGGGGGGTTGTGTTTTACTAAGAATATTCCAATAAACAAACAAAGCAATCGAATGTGTGGCAATCTGCCTTAATCTATGTACCTCACATGAATAGATGATTTGAAACTAATAAGACTCAGGATTTGATGTTCAGGTCATTAACCCCTTTGAGAGACTGTTTAGCAGTCTGTATGTCCTGTGTGGGGACGTCTCTCTTCGTGACGAGGATTTACCCGCAGCCGGCGGAAGAGCATCGCTAAAGATACGCATTTGCCGACAAACATTTCAGCGAGACCATCTGCTCACAGAGAAGCTAAACGCGTTTGACGTCTGCTTAGGGCTGTGAGGTCCGGCCAGAACCCAGGCTGGTTCCCCTTCAGCGGGAAGAGCAGGAGGTCATCAGATTGGCCCCCATCTCTCCACCCCAGCACCACTCCAGCTTCCCGAGCCTGGCACTGAACTGAGATGGCGACTGAATTCTCACTATGATTAGCTTATTTTGAATTTCTTTGATATATTTTTGATGGTTTATTTTGTGTGACAGTGCACAATGTTACATGATAAACGATTAAAGCATTTAAATTATATCAGTCTCAGGAAGACATGATGTCAATCATTCCATAATAGTATTCTTTCTGTGACTCTCAAACCCCTCTATGTTTAAACATTGGTTCCCACTGGGTTACATTAACCAGTTGTTGGTAGGCCATGGTAATCCAACCTGGAATTCATTTTAAACTGTGATTTTTCCAGGCACTAAACACTGTAAGTGCTAACAAATATGATCCCTGTGTCATTATTTCATAAAAACCATAAAAAAAATTAATTAATACTTAATCATTCAAATCTGTAAATAAAGGTCTGGTTTATGACCAGAGCCAGAGCAACGCATCTGGACTGACCCAGAACCCTAACTGGTCTGCAATACGAGACTTCAAAACATACTGAGTCACAGCCACAGACTTGTGGAAATTTCCAGACTTCCTCTCGAGAAAGTCAATCTGCAGCTGTTTTTCCTGCGTGCCACGGATTTCCTTAATGCAAAATGCACTGCATTTGAATTGCAGATCCAACTCAAAAAATGTAACAAAATGATAATCTAAGGAATGTAAACTCACGACCTCCCCCTCCGTGGAGTTACGTCACTGGTTACTCCAGTCTCCCACTCGTGCACCACAGACTGGTGGGGTACCTTCCCCAGTGCTCTCTCTGAAGGACGCTGCAGGACTCTACCTACCCACCTTACTGGCGATGTAGGCAGCAACTGGTGGAACTGTAGCTAAGTAAAACCCTCACTGCCAACCGGGAAGGTCAGTGACACACAGGCATCTGACAAACAGCCTCATGATACATTTGATCTTTCCAGTGGTTCAGTCCGTATTTGCACTGCAGATTCATCTTGGCAGAGAAAGCTGATCCTTCGTCGCCTCGCTTCCGGACATCCCATAGGTAGATGGGGCACGGGGACCGAGCAGGACGGGTCTGACAGATCAGGGGAACAGGCTCAGCTAAGCTGAACACTGAAGTGATCCCCCCAAAACAGCAGTGCGTGGCTCAGCGGGCTGAGCCACTGTGCCTGTCATCGGAAGGTCACCGGTTCGACCTCGTCAGAATAGTCACGGCTGTGGGCCCTTGAGCGAGGCCCTTAACCCCCAGCTCCATGGGCGCCACTGCAGGTGGCTGCCCTTCACTGCCAAGCTTGCTCTCACCCGTCTATGTGTCATGGAGAGCAAGACGGGGCAGATGAAAAGAGAATTTCCCAATGGGGGTCAGTAAAGTATCACACAGGCCAGCCCACCTCAGCTTGTACAGATGCTCCTACCCGAGAGACGAACAAGATCGGACACCTGTTTATTCTTAGAGTAAACTAACATGAAGAACAGTAGAAGCAGCCATCTAACAGGGCGAGTTTAATAAACAACCAATATTTTACAAATGCCTGAAAACCAGTGGTAGCAATGTACAGCATAATAAGCATTCAACGGCACGTTTCTACTGTCATATGTGCACATGTGCATCACACATCGCTACCAGCTTAATGTCTTGGTCCTTGTTCAGGATCGCAGCTACAAGACGGAATTGTGTTGACACATTTGAGCAGTTTACAGCAAGCAAACAAAAAAAAATCCAATAATATGAAAAGTTGGCCTTTCCTTGACTTCATAGCTTATTGGCTTCAGGCTATAGGAAACCTGAAATGCTTCAACATGTGTGTGTGGGTGTGTGTGTAGGCATATATACTGTATATATATATCATGTTTCAATGCCTGAAGAGTTATGAAAAGGAGAGTTAAAAAAAAAAAGTTGCATTATATTAAACCCATGACGAAAAGAACCTAAAGAATGACAATCAAACCCGAAGATGGGCCGTGACCGGCGCCGGTGCGGACTTCGGTCTTACCGTGCGAGTTCCTGGGGTGCCAGCAGTGCCCAGTGAGTGAGCCAAGGAGCAGGGAGGCAAGACGAGGCGACACCAGATACCAAATCTACAGCACCTGTGTCACTTTACCTGCCCTCTCGCTTTACCCCGGCCCCTCATCAGTAACGCAGACCTATCACATCGCAGCAAAGTGACATCAGTGCCCGGCCTGCAACCAACCACAGCCCGGCCCAGACCCTCCTATGCAAACCCCGAGCAAAAGGCTGGCCTTATAGCCATGGCTGCCCAGACTGAAATCTCACAGGCTCAGGATTACATTCTCCCGAAAAGTACGATTTTGGTTACCTACAAAGCACATTTTTTTTCTTACTGTAACTAAAGTTAAAAAACAGGGCAGTGTACTTACAGTCAAAGGTGTTTGAAAAAGCCAGTTTACAGATGAAATCTGGGATCTTTTAGCAAAAGGCAAGAAATTACCAAATATCTCTTATAAAGCCACTTAATAACACTCTTTTTCTTTATTAATTCAGTTAGTAAATTGAGATCTATGGTCACACACACAAAACAACCACAAACTAAATTCCCAGAGCCGGGTGTTTGCTGTTGAGACAGGCACGCCCAGGACAGCCTCGACAGAGACACAAAGGCCCCGCTCCCAGCTACACCCCGCCAGACGCGCTCACCAGGTCCCCGAGTTTCCATGGCATCCCGGACACATTGTTTTTCACCGTGCCTTTTATAAGCCGAGCTTTGTACCTGTGCGCTTTCAGCACTCCACCCCCCATGGAGGACAATTAGCAGTATCTTTTTGTGCCCCTCCCGCTGGGGAGTGTACACCGGCACTCGGATTAATTGTTAATGATGGTGAGCCCTGGGCTCTTCACCTGGGGCCTGGGGGGGAGGGGGGTCAGGTGGGAGGGTGGACTAATTAACCCCCCAGCCTCCTCCTGTACCTGGGACCACACACCCCCCCCCCCCCACTGCAGAGCACAGGCTCACAGTCCTACTATGACTGCACTCTGTAACCAAGCAACAGCATAAATACACACATCACAGACCTATTTACCCACCAGAATGTACATCAAACATACAGTTCAATATGACACCAATCAGTAATGCTACTGATCCATCTAATCATTACTGTGATTACATTCTGCTATAGTATGATATAACTGGACTTATGATTCAACAATATCCCCCTGGGATCATATAATTGATGGTCTCTGCTGCCAAGTGAAATGGATGATACTGTTTTGATTTATGCTGCATCTTCTATGTGCTGTTTTCTACATGTACGTGAATTGTCATTACCCAACTGCTTCAGCAGTACGGGATCACGACGGAAAATCTGTCATTTAACGAACACGAAGGAGCAGGACAAACGAATAAGGGGTTTATTAAAATGAAACCAGAAAAGGGCAAAAGCCAGACAGCACACATATGTTTAAACGACACTGATTCTATATCAGACAAAAAGGTTGAAACAACGTTGATCTTCAATCTTTCACTTTATATCAACATTGAATCAAGGTTTTGCCACCATCAGTTTCTCAATATTTAAAATCTGACCAAAAATCAGTTTCAACGTTGATAATTTAACACTGACCATAATTCAACGCATTTAACTATAATTCAACGTTGAAACAATAACATGGTGCTATCTGGGAAGACACCACTAGCTAGAGGGGAAATTCACACAAGCACACACTAGGGCAGAGGTCAGCAACCTTTTTAAAGCAAAGAGCCATTGTATCCTAAATGTCTGACCCAAGATTTACAAAGAGCCCCAATGGATAGAGAAGAGGGTTTGAGATACGATTTTTAATGCGATATCAGTATATATGCATTTAACACAAAAACAAAACTTCAATTACTTACAAAAAAATAGAGAAATACAATTTCGGGGGGGTTATCAGTTTAAAATCACTCGGATGCGTAACAGCGTAAAGGTGACTAATATCACAATGTTGTTCAGTTCTGTAGCGACAGTCTTCACCCTCACCCAAGTTCTTTTGGCTCTGTAGTTGTCTGTCCTTCACTCTCCACTTCACTACTTGTAACTGTCCTGACCGAGCAGCGCAAAATGTCCTCACCACTCCGAAATCAGCTGGCTATAATACGTAAATCGGATAAAATATAATAATTTTACAAAGACCTGGGAAGGCGTGGTGACGATTTACTACAAAAAGTATATGAAAGAATTAGGAATCCCAATAACCTTTGAAGCGTACATCCAATCTCAGGTGCTTCAGAAATCTCCAGAAAGGATATATACCATTTAACCAGAGAGGTAATCTCGTTTTAGCGAATGACTTTGAGGAAGATGTAAATTATGCAGTTAAGACGTAACAGAAGCCCGCGACGGACTGCCTCATTCACATATAGCTAAAGAAATATCTAAGCAAAAAATAATAATATTAACCCATAAATAATACTTTCGGAAATATAAATAATTTATCATAATATGTTAAGACATGAAAATGTGATTGTGTCTGTCGCCGAGCCACAGGCTGCCAACCCCTGCACTAGTGCAACGTCAATGACCAGACTGGGGAGCGTGGAACTGGGAGCCACTGTTATGCACCACTGATGAGGAGCAAATGGATGAACATGCGGTCAGGACCCGTGCTGCTCTCGCGCGGGAATGGCAGGGCACAGGCAGCCAATCAGAGGAATTACTAACGGGCCCATCAGGGAGCTCATCAGCGGCTTTGACGGGGGGGCGGCCGGGTAATGAGGTCCTCATTAACGCTGGGTCACAATTACCACTTTGTGTCCCCCCCGTCCCTCCTAAGGCTGTGGACACCGTGTGAACAGTCCAAATGAAGTAATTATCCCCTTTAAAAGCACAGAGGGCTGGTTCCATATGGAGAACCTCCGAAGCCCAGTGTTGTTGGGAATCCATAACGATCCACTCCAGTAACTTCCGTCTGAATGCGTGTCTGTGGAATGGTGGCCCGTGGGAGTGTCACCGTTCATTTGGCCTAAATGGGGGACAAAAAGTGGGCAGGGATCTGAACCCTCTCTATACCGGAATCAGAGCCATTTCCCTGCACTAACAGCAATCCTGCTAAAAACAAACTGCACTATGGGGTATTGCGACCTGCATGTCACACCGTTGCTCACTGATAAACGAATCTTTGCTTTTACAAATAGAGTTTTCTTATCATCTCTCCTGGTCGAAAATCCCCCTGAGTCATTCATCAAGTTATTTATATGATTTTCACAGCCACATGGTACCACTGAAGACAAACAAGACGAAAACTCCTTAACAACAGGGTAAAGAAATATGCTGTATTTCTGAACACTTCCACAGGAGCTATAATATTTATATACTGCATATATTACTGGATATTCATAAACTGTTTATAAAGGGTAATAGGAAGTGAACAGGAAGTGGTGATACTCTGAAGCCCTGCTTCTGTTGGTAATGATACTCAGGGTCACTTACTCACTGTAAATTATGGAAGTCATCCAGAGTTAAGGTGAGTAATTTCTGAGTTGCGTGGCGCTGTGAGAGCCCCAATAAAAGCTGAAGGTTCGTGGTATGAAGTCCAGCAGAGAACACAGATCATGTTTAGATTCCGTTTATCCCAGCCCTCTGCTGGTCGCGAAAAATTCTGCGCTAATTTAGCTGTGGTCTGACTGCAACAATAAATTATTTCAATGAATTATTTGTTGCTAGAGATATGCTACAAATTTTGCTCACATGAACAGTTCTTTAAAATGTATTTCTAACGATAAATGGAAAAACCTTGTCAATTTTTCATCATTCAAGTTATCATCAACAATACTTTGCTTTAACACAACACGGAAATTAAAGCTAATATTTAAAGTATTAATTCAATGAACAGCTCCATTGACTTTAATTGCAAACTCAGCCGAAGAGGAATTGTGTTGGTGTGCCAAATTTGGGACACGTCGTTTTAAACAGTTCATTTAATTATTTACACTAGGATTACTTGCTGTACATGAGTGTCTGTTAAGATACAATCCTGCAAGACATCCTTTAAGTAGCATTTTTGCTAAATTGGTTTGCAGTAAATATTTCAGGGCTTTCAGAGCTGATAGAGAAAAATAACTTATTATTTTAACGTTTTATATACAAACTCACACAATTAAAAACATCATGACATTGTGAATCAGAATAAGCCCAATTAAGTCTTAAATAGATTGTCTGTCTGCTGCGGGACTGTCTGCTAGCCTGGTTCCAGAGCTTGTGTTGGGAACTTCCACTGTAATGATGACAAAGCTGGGTTTGAGATTTATTTGATAGTGCACTCAGACAGATTAAAACATCTCACAAAAAATGATCCTACCCAAGCATAATTGTACTGTTTACTTTAGAATAGTGGTTCTCAACTGCTGTAGCCTCAAAGCCCACATTCTTCCTTGGCCATAAGTCACGACACAAATTTTTAAACATTTGAACCATATGCCATTATAACAACTGGTGAAGTCTGATGAATGAGATGGTGCCGGCAGACAAAAAAAAATCTGAAATAATTTTTTACTCACATACTCCATGACCAACTGAAAACGACCCGTGAGTGACAGACAAGGTGAGAAAGACTGCTTTAGAAAACACTCTAATTCTATGAGGTACAATATGACATATAAGCTTACGTCATAAAAGGGGAGAAAATGAATTTAGAGATCAGTGGTCATTGTTGACACACCACAGCACACAACAATGAAATGTGTCCCTTGCATTTAACCAATATGTGACATCGTGACATAGCAGGGGGCAGTTAATTCTGCACCCGGGGAGCAGTGCTTGGGGACGGGACCTTGCTCAGGGTACCTCAGTGGTCCCTTGCTGGTCGGGGATTCAAACCAGAAATCTTTCAATTACAAATGCACTTCCCTAACCATTACGACACCACTGCTCACTGTGCGTGTGTATATGTGTGTGTGTGTGTGTGTGTGTGTGTGAGAATTAGGTTTATATTACATTGTGGGATTATATTACATTGTTATTTTGACATTGTGGGGACCATTTTTTCGGACCTGTTGATGCAATCAAAAAAGTACAAATGCATGCCAAAAGCCGTGTATTTTGTCTGGTTACTTATGGGTAAGGTTAGGGCTGGGTTGGGGTTAAGGTCGTCATGTTGGGGGGGGGGGGGCGTACCTCATCCTTGGCTCCGCCCTCTACATGCCGCAGTTTGTTCTTGACCCTCAAGTAGATCTCAGCCGAGGGCTGGTCCTCAGGAGGGCTTGGTGGGGGGTAGCTGGGAGGGGGCGGTGGTGGGGGGGGCGGCTCTTCGGGCCGCCGCATTGCGCTGTTGAGGGGTGGTGGAGGCGGAGGAAAATCCGGCGGGGGAGGTGGGACCACGGCATCGGGACACCCAGACACCAGCTCAGGATTCAGCATGTCCATGTAGGTCTGCATGTCCACGATGTCTGTGTCACTGGAGCCTTGCGGGTATCACACACAGCAACAATCACCCAGTGACAGGATGCGGGCACAGGCTAGTTACTCACCCTAACAGCAGGACGCTGCATGGAGAAACCTAAAGATCACTGAAGGGTCACAGGGTGGATTGGGGGGGGTCTTTCTGTATTGCCTAAAACAAGGCAGTCCTCCAAAACAGCTCATAAAAAACATCTGGTTTCGTAAATGAATCCTTTGCAGAATATTCAACCATTGTTTGATATTTACATATTATTTTTGTTTCAGCGGTCACTAGTCCCATGATAACTATATAAAACAGTAACTTTTCAAATAGAAAATGAAAATTCAGTCACATAAATGTGGCCTAAAAAGAGCTTAAGTTCAGTTTCCTGGAAAGATCTTAACAGTATGAAATGGGAACTTTGCGATTCAGTGTCTGTCCACTAGATGGCAGCACTTATTACTCAACCTGGAATCCAAACGTTATTAAGGCACAATGTAGCAGGTGTCAGCTGGTACATACACAGGCTCCCATTTTAGCTAAGTGTTTAAAGGCTCTGTTAAAGTAGTGGTTTCCCTAAATTAATTAAATGATTAATTCTGCCCCCCCTCTTAATGGCTGGCAGGACATGAATATGGACCTTTCATGCTAACAGAAGAGCAGAGGAGTCCATCTTGTAATGTTAACATTAGCTTAATTACGCCTCTTTATTAATGTCATCCATTTAATTTGGACAACATTTAACTAGGACGCACATTTTAGGCAGTATGTTTTACACTATTTCAGACATGTGGCTCGTCTTCCTCTCTTTTTGTACAGTTACTGTGTAAAAGTCTTTGGCAGTCAAAGAAAAAGACGTTTAATTGATCTTCATGTTGGTGTGAAACTATGATATTACGTCTGTCAGAGTCCATGTATTTTTTGACTTGACCACCAGCACACCTTGCATAGTTAATCATGACGTCATTGACTTTTTTAAATTAATTAAATTGAGGAATTAAGCTGATGGTGAAATACATGGAATGGTGGCATTGAGTGGCGCCCCCCCTGCACAGTGGTGCCCCCCCCCTGCACACCAAAAACGCGGGATGTACCTTAGCAGGAGCAGAATTCTGAGTTTATTACGGGTTTCAATCTCAAAATATTTCTACATTAAGCTATAACTGAAATATTAGAACTTTATTTTCAAAATTCATTAGTCTATTATTTTATTTCTATAAATGACCTAAAACGCCATCGCAGAAAGAAAGCATGTTAATAAATGATGCCCAACTGGCTTTATATGCTTAAATTTTATTGTAACTGACCCGCCCAAAAATGACCCGAGTAAGACTCATAACTGCCGACCCATCATCCTGCGTATTATTGCTGTGGGTACCATAAACAGGAATTCTGAAGGCGTCCCTGCATACCGCTATCCACAAACATTCAACGGCACATTGGCTGGAATCAGCTACAATGCAGAAATCAGCTGCATATCACTAATCAGCTACAATGCAGATATCAGCTGCATATCACTAATTAGCTACAATCAGTTACATTTCAGCATAACCCAGTCTTACTTCATTCTTCTATACATTTCTACAGTTAGCATTTGAATCAATGTGTGTATGTATATGTCTCAAAGGAAAGTACTGACCACCTGCTCCCCCAGGGGGCGCAGTCCTCTTCTCCCCAGTACTAGATTGGCTGGAGCTGCAGGAGTCATAGTTGGACAAGGTGCTGGAGGGAGAGCCCATGTCAAACCGGGCCGGTTGCACCGGGGAGCGGAACGTGGCGTTGGGGGATGACAGGCCGGAATCAGGCTGCTTGTACTCCAGGTCAGCTGAGGGGTCTCTGGAGAGCACGCGATGCTGCACGCTCTGGAAGACACACACAGTCATGGGCTATACTCTCACACACACACGGTCAGGGGCTATACTCTCACACACACACGGTCAGGGGCTATACTCTCACACACACACGGTCAGGGGCTATACTCTCACACACACACGGTCATGGGCTATACTCTCTCACACACACGGTCATGGGCTATACTCACACACACATACGGTCAGGAGCTATACTCTCACACACACACACACACACGGTCAGGGGCTATACTCACACACATACACGGTCATGGGCTATACTCACACACACACATGGTCAGGGGCTATACTCACACACACATACATACATGGTCATGGGCTATACTCTCACACACACACACACACACACACACATGGTCATGGGCTATACTAACACACACAAACAATCACGGGCAATATTCACGCACACAGAGTCATGGGCTATACTCATGCACACACACACATACAACACAAACACACGCACAGACACATAACACACACACAAAGGCTAAAATCACACACACATACACATGCTAATTTCATGCACACACACAGGCTAACTTCACAAACTCACATGCTGACACAGACTAATCTCTCTCACACACACAGGCTAAAATCACACACACACAGGCTAACATCATGTGCAAACAAACACACATATGCAAACACACAGGCTAATCTGACGATCACGTACACACAAATACACACACACACACACAGACACACAAAAAGTGAGGCGCGTTATGAAAATAACGTGAAAATCTTGTGGGATGACCAGGCCGAGCCAGAGCAGAGTTTACAGGAGATGCTGCACAGTCTGGCATCAACAGCTGAATCAAACCAAAAATCATCTCTATGAACACAGCAGAGCATGTTACTGTAAGGAGCCATACTGAACTAACACTGTTCATTGGTACTGAATAAAACCTGCAATAACAGACCATGGCAAAGAAAAGCACCAGCCAATTGTTTTATTGGTTTATTCTGTCAATGTCTTTATAACCTCGTGCTTTAGGTGCTTATATGCCAGTTCGAGTCTTTTATACTTAACACATATAAAAATGCACGTTAAAAATAACAGCATGTTTGACGGCCATTATTTAACAGATTAATAGTATTTCATATGTATAACACCATTTAGAGAAAACTTCATCCACTTCTATTATTAGTACTATTATTAGATATGTAAAGATCACAAGTGAAAACGATCAGCTTAAAGCTTTTGCTAACTTGCTGGGATTCATGCTGTATTACTGGGAAACAGAGTGAGCGACGTGCAAGGTCACGCACTGAAATGTTTGTCTTCAAATCTCACTCCTCCACGGGATATCGAGCTTGAAAACATTCCGGCTTTAATACCGTGTCACAATGCAGCGATACAGCGAGCAGACTGCAGCCCCCAGGCCCGAGCAGTGAGGGATAATCAGATAGATCCGTCTCCTATGCAGTCGGCCCTTTAACCTTGTTATCCGAGATCAGCTGAGCAAACACTCCTTGTGTTATAAAAGCCCAATTACTCGGGGCGTTTTCAAGGTGAATATAATAGAGGATTTAAAGAACACACATGCATACTGAGACTTACAGCATCTCCACAAGGGGGGGGGGGGGACGCAGTGGTGCCAGTTCAGGCCATGCAGGGCTCCGTCGCAGGGCTGTTTGTGAAGGCCGGCCGGTGCAGAGCCTACGCCCCATAGCTGCCAGGTGGTGGGTGGAGCGACACGCCACAGCCCGCCTCCCCATGCACACACCTCCCCCTCCCCCACCCTCAGGCGCACCAACATCTGCCGTCCCTGGGGCTCGACGCCTCATGGGTAACTTAGCCTAACAGAGCAGCCAACGCGTAATTAAAAACTAGCATGTTAGCAAGGATGCCAGCAATGTGGGGTGTACCTGAAGGAGAAGCAGGGGCGTAAAAAGTGTGTTGGGGGTGGGGCTGTTCCGCCCCTTATTTAATTTGGCTTATTTAATTTGGCTTCATCACCCCCTCCCCCCATGAAAAAATATGCACTTTTACATTAAAATCATTACGCTGTGTCCCCCCAACATCAAAAACTCTCCTACGCCCTAGAATTACAATTTTACTTTTGGTCAGCACTGCCGGGGGGCTGGGCTTGGTGCCCCCCAGGAAGCCTCTCCTTCGAGGGCCAGTTCATACTCTGTTTGGTGTGGGTGTCTTAGCAGGAAGGAAGAGCAGTAAGACCAGCTGAGGCTTCCTCACCAAGTTCTCAACAGTCCGCAGGTACTTGGCACACTGGGTATGTCCGCCACATTCGGCCAGCTCGGCTGCGGTGAAGCCGTCCCGGTCCCGCAGCTGCAGGTCTGCCCCGTTCACCACCAGGATCTGGCAGCACTGGTGGCCCAGGGTCCCAAGAATGAAGATGGAGATGGTTGGTGAGACACAAACAAGACAAAAACTGGGCCTTTTTCAAAATGTCAAAGTTTCAGGTAATGAGTTTATCACCTTAAGCACTCTGCTACTCACTGCATGTGCATTCACTTAGCATGAACTTCTCTCCAAAATAACATACACATTTTGCGAAACCAGGTTCAGAGATTCCCTAGAGCAGCTGGGAGTTAATTAAGAGCCTCACTCAATCATAACCCTAGGATTTAAACCAACAACCTTCTGATCACAAGTACAGAGTTCCAACCCACTGAGCCACACATTACATGCAATAAAACAGCTATAAAATTAAAGTAAGAAAAAAGGATAAAGAAGAATGATACTGATCAAAAATGTGAATGAATGCTGCAGATTATGCCAGTAACCAAAGTCACTAAGATACTAATAAGTTAGTATGTGAACTTTATTTATAAAGCACTTTAAAAGTAACATTTGTTGATCAAAGTGCCGTACAAAGTAAAAAAAAAAGATCAAAGAAACCAGAATACAGAGACACATGTCACATGAAACGAACGGCTCACTCAAAATATTCTTAAATTTCTGTAAACTAAAGAATAAAAATGAGTTTTCAGTTTGATTTTAAAATCAGAAACTGAGGAAAGAGCATCGGAGCTGCAATGGCAGAAGGGCCATCAGCCTCCGTTTTTAATCCTTTGGGAACTGCCAAAAAACTGCCCATGACTTCACGGATCTTGAGGTGGTGCATGTGGAAAGGACATCGGTTATAGAGGAAGGGGTTAATCCATGCAGAGCTTTAAACATTAAACATTTAAACATTAAAAACTCCATTGCTCTGTTAAAACACCCAGCTATGTAAATGAATTCAAAAGCCTTATTGTTATTTTCTTGCTACCTGAGACTCTCAGTCATGCTTAACTGGGCCACTGAATATTTTACTGTCTGTGCTGACAGGCAGATTGGTCGCCAGCACCTCTGGGCCGTGACCCGGTAACCTACTGTGCCACCGGACACGGGTCCCGAACCACCGACGCGGCACCCACCTCCAGCTCGCCGTTCTCAGCGGCATCGTGCAGGGGCGTGCCCCCCCAGCTGTCGGCGACGGCCTCCCCCCCGTGCAGAAGCAGCCAGCTCAGCATCTTGGCGTGACCCCGACTGGCTGCGAAATGCATGGCAGTGGCCCCGTTGGCGTCCCGCTCTGCCAGGCTGACTGACGTGAAGCTCATCTGCGCAGACGGGACCTGTCAGCCATGAGCTCGCATCCCCCCCCTCCCCCCCCAGAGTGCCTACCCAATGAAACCCTTAGCAATTAGCAAGTCACGCTAACGAGCTGGTTAGCGTAGCAAAGCCGAGCTCACCAGCCAGGCGATGACGGTGCAGTGTCCCATCTGGGCGGCGGCGTGCAGCAGCGTCATGCCGTCACCAGCCCGGACGCACGGATCAGCGGTGCAGTGCTTTACCAGGTACTGCACCACCTCCAGACGGCCTTCCTGGCAGGCCAGGTAAAGCGGAGTGGCACCATTCTTTGTTTGGGCATTGACCAGGCTGAGGAGCAGAAACACACATACAGACAAAGACATAGACAGAGAGACAAACACACACATAAACACAAAGACATAGACAGACAAACACACACATAAACACAGACACACACACACATAAACACAGACACACACAGACAGACAGACAAACACACACATAAACACAGACACACATAGACAGACAAACACACACATAAACACAGACACACACAGACAGACAAACACACACATAAACACAGACACACATAGACAGACAGACAAACACACACATAAACACAGACACACACACACACACAGACACACACATGAACACAGACACACACAGACAAACACACACAGACAAACACACACATGAAAACAGACACACACAGACAGACAAACACACACATAAACACAAAGACACACACAGACAGACAAACACACACATAAACACAGACACACACAGACAAACACACACATAAACAGACACAAAGACACACACAGACGCAGACAAACACAGCACAGATACACACACAAACATAATTACAGTTAAATGTGCACTTTATTATTCAGTACAATTTTGGACACTGTGATTTATATCTTGAAATTTGCAGAAAAATACCTTTAATGGTAAAACAGCATCACCAATAATTACACAATCCTCAAACATATAAATGCTACAAATCTAAAAATGTCAGGCCATGCATGAATCTTTAAGTGGGAGAACGTGAGGCGTTTGTGTGCATGTCTGTATCTGTAGATACATATTCCAACTGCTTCTCCTGGTCGGGGTCATATGGATCCCATTTCCAGGCAGCAGAGTGCATAAAGTTGGAGACGGCCCCGGGTGCGAGCCAGTCCATGGCAGGGCGTATGCACACAGACTACAGGCAAGTTAGAGACATCAATTAACCTAACTGCAGACCAAAACAAACAGGTGGTAAATATTTCAGACAGGAAGGGCATGCAATCTGTCGTCAGGAAGTAGACAAGACCATGTATTATTCATGAGTGTAATGGAAGTGGGCAGGCCTTTGATGGTGACGAAAGCTCAGGAAATACACCCACACAAACATGAAATGCATTATGAAAACATGCCAGAATACAGAGAAAGGCAGCCCGCTCTCGGTAAACGCAGAGAGGAGCTCGATGCCTCTACAGAAGGCGGAAACTCAGCCAGACACACAAAAGCTCCCTACAGAGACACAGCGGGCAAAAACTCTCCATTCATTTCTATGGGAGAAACCCTAATCCCAGCAATGACGACCGTAACCCCTACCCAGCCCTAACCTTAACCATAAGTAAACAAACAAAATTCAAGACTTTTAGCATTTTTAGTTTTTTGATTGCAGTCACAGATTTTTATATAATTGAGGTTTTCCTTGTGGGGACTGTAAAAAATGGTCCCCATAACATCAAAATAGCAGGATTTTTTTATCACATTGTGGGGAATTTGGTCTCCATAACATAAGGTATACCTGGATATCACACACACACACACACACACACACACATCTGTCCAGAGGGTCGACCATACACTACCAGTGAAATGCACTGAGATTTTCTGTTTGCATATCACTCACTTAATATTTACTAAAAATACTCTGAATATTCTTTGCTAATGAGTAAATTTACAGTATGAGTAAATTTATTTGTACGTGTATTTGAGCATCTTTATTGGCAAGAAAATGTCATATCTTTGACTAACCTCCTCTAGCAGAGAAAATCTGAGACATTCTTTCTACAAGGGACACGGGATGATACGATTAACTAGTGCGTTTGAAGTTAACTAGTGCATCAACCTTGAATCTGACTATGCCATCTTCACATAACCAGATAACAGGACGTCAAACATGCACTGTTACATACTCTTTCCATGTCATAAAGGGAACTTGTTTTATTTGACTTTGATATTATCATTTATAGTTGTTCACTCAACTTTCCAGTGCTTAACAAGAATTAAAAAAAAGCAGTTTATGAAATAAATGGAAAAGTGGTAAAAACCCACGGTATGTAAGAATGTTTGACTGGCAGTGCATACAGTAATTCACATGATTAGCCATGTCTCATTTTCTGGATTTAACCTGCATAAGGTAAAGTAATAGAGACAGTAATATTACCGCTAGAAGTACTAAAAAAAACCTGCCGCTTAAACTGCCAGATCCATCTGCAGTCTGGGGTAACCCAGCCGGGGGGGGGGGGGCGTCTGAAAGTGTAAGTGCTTCCTTCAAAAATGAGGTCAGCTTCTCGGTTGCCCTTCCTGTCTAAATAATTCAATACAAGAATAAAAAGGTTTGCATTCAAGACACCTCATGAAATTTAAGAGCAGCTGAATGGTCAAAATAAATGAATATCACTACGTCACAAGGAAAACTAGTTTCATTTTTGGGAAAAAAAAAGCACTGGTAAGCCCTCAAACTTCATGAATTATTAATGTAAAATTTGAAGATTCTCAGTTAAGTAGCAATTTTCATATAGATCAAAGCTAAAGTCTGCAAACTGTTCTGGATTGGCAGAGCCTACTACAAGCCATGATTCAATTTTGGAAACTAAAATTTAATAAATCAAACTAATAACACCATCACTGCAGCGAGCTACTGGAAAGTATATTCAGGAGGGTAAAGTGATAAGTCAGTGGATCACAGAAGGAATCCAACAGGAATCTTTCTACTCAGATAACTAACTGTTACATATCACAATAACACAGATATAGATCAGATGTCCAACTGAGGGTGGGGGTCATGAAAAACAAATGGTCTTGCTGCTGCTGCTGGGCCCTTAAGGCCCTTAACCTTTAACCAGCATTCATTCCCAGTTTCACATGCTCCAGGGACGCTGGATAAATGCCTGACCTGCACTCAAACATAAAGCTTCTCTCTCATGCATGTGTGTCTATATATATATACACATACATACATACAAAGAAGCATGTCAATGTACCTGAACTCATACTTGTGCAAATAGCAAATAAAAAAACATCATTTCAGGTTCTATGTCTTGCCTGAACTGCAGGATTTTGTGAAGATGTCCTATTCGAATACCTCAAATTATTGAAACTGCTAGAGGAGGTTACTTTGCTGAATCAAAGATATGACATTTTCTTGCTAATAAAAGTACACAAATGGTGAATATACTGTAAAATTATTTGTTAGCAAATAATATTGAATGTCTTTTTAGTAAATATTAAATGAGTGATATGCAAACATAGAAAATCTCAATGTGTGCAAAACAGTTTGACTGGTTGTGTAGCTGCCAGTTACAATACGGCTCTTTTGGAGAATGAATGGCATCAAGAAAGAATTTTAGATCCATCTAACCAAGAAATATCCGCCGGGGAAATTTCCAGCATCATACAAATTTTGGAGTTTTATTTATGTATCACATGGTTGTATCCAAAGCGATATATATTTTTTGGAGAAACCAGACGAGCGTTAGACAATTGCTGGCACAGCTAAAGTTAAGAGGCCTCATCACCTCCACCCAACCATCCTCTGCGAGTCACCTCCACCCAACCATCCTACCGCGAGTGACCTCCACCCAACCATCTTCCGCGAGTCACCTCCACCCAACCATCCTCTGCGAGTCACCTCCGCCAAACCATCCTCCGCGAGTCACCTCCACCCAACCATCTTCCGCGAGTCACCTCCACCCAACCATCCTCTGCGAGTCACCTCTGCACATCCATCCTCCGCGAGTCACCTCCACCCAACCATCCTCCGCGAGTCACCTCCGCCCAACCATCCTCCGCGAGTCACCTCCACCCAACCATCCTACCGCGAGTCACCTCCGCCCAACCATCCTCCGCGAGTCACCTCCACCCAACCATCCTCCGCGAGTCACCTCCGCCCAACCATCCTCTGCGAGTCACCTCCACACAACCATCCTCCGTGAGTCACCTCCGTCCAACCATCCTCCGCGAGTCACCTCCACACAACCATCCTCCGTGAGTCACCTCCGCCCAACCATCCTCTGCGAGTCACCTCTGCACATCCATCCTCCGCGAGTCACCTCCGCCCAACCATCCTCCGCGAGTCACCTCCGCCCAACCATCCTACCGCGAGTCACCTCCACCCAACCATCCTCCGTGAGTCACCTCTGCACATCCATCCTCCGTGAGTCACCTCCACCAAACCATCCTCCACGAGTCACCTCCACCCAACCATCCTCCGCGAGTCACCTCTGCACATCCATCCTCCGCGAGTCACCACACAACCATCCTCCGCGAGTCACCTCCGCCAAACCATCCTCCGCGAGTCACCTCCACACAACCATCCTACCGCGAGTCACCTCCGCCCAACCATCCTCCGCGAGTCACCTCCGCCCAACCATCCTACCGCGAGTCACCTCTGCACATCCATCCTCCGTGAGTCACCTCCACACAACCATCCTCCGCGAGTCACCTCCACCCAACCATCCTCCGCGAGTCACCTCCACCCATGATCCACACAGCTGTTAGGTCCCAGCAAAGCTGTCAATTTCCATCAGATGTGTAACACTTAGACATAACCAGGACATGTTAGCATTTACTGCTAGCACTTCTGAGCCAGCCTGTTTGTCACTGCGACTGTCTGTGTCTGTGTCTGTCTGTGAAGTATAAGGTCTTTTATGGTTGAATATGCAATGTAGCTACAAAGATAAATGTCTGGGCTCCTTAATCTGAGTGCAGTCCAGCTATATATATATAATATATAAATTCCTTTCCTTAAATGCATTGAAACAATAAATAAATGTCTTTTTATGGCTCTAAGAGCTATAATTCAGGGAAGGGTCCTTCATAGATGTTTCACTTCTCTTTACATCATCGGCAGGTATTATCTGTCACCCCTGATTTCTCGTTCCTCCCCTTTGTCTCCAAACACATGCAAGATGTCCGCAACACACTTGACAAACCTTGACCTAGAGCAGACATACAATCTCAGCGAACAGCAGAGGTGGCTGCTTGCCCATCTGATGATTTTAATATTGTCAAACAAATGAGTGACGGATGAAGCCGTATTTCTGTGGCGCCTAATGAGCCGTGACACACGGACGTTATCTCTGCCCTCCCAGCACTGCACCCAGACAATGAACGACCGGCGAAGAAGAGGCTGCCTATTGATCCACATTTGTTTCCTTCATTATTTTATGACGGGCTGGCTGCCACAGGTAACCATAGCGACAGCAGTAAACATACCGGTGGCTGAATGGGACACTGCTATCGGGCTCTGGCAGGTCACCCAAGCCTCATTAAAGTTTCAGCAGCCACCACGTGGCTCAGGCTGAAGCCAGAGAGATAGGCGGACATGGGGCACATGTGCCGATCCAGGCTTCCTTTTCAACAGCAAACAGCTACTGTCTTAATGGCACAGCCATGAGAAAATGACAGTGAGCCGTTACACAGATTTCCACACTAGGACCTGCTAAAATTTGATAGAACATTCATCTGTCTTAGTGAACAAAAACAGCCTTATTTCTCAAACAAACACCATATTTCGCATTGCCGTCTTCATCGAACATTGTTTTTTACGAGATGAGCAGCAATGGCTATGATTTCATTTGTAAAATATATAATGTGACTGTGGACCAATGGTGGCCCAAGTCTTTGGAAATACTTAAGTGAAACAAAATGAGGCAGCATTTGCCATTTGCAATTACATGAGTAAAGGTACATTGAAATGCTTCCTTTCACACGTCTCATCTTGGGACTCCCTTAATACTTAGTTACACATTAACATGAGAGTGAAGCTTGGGGTCCGGGTGCAGGGCCAGGCCAGTTATCTGGGGCATATAGCGGGGGGTGTGGGGTCTCGCTCAAGGGCCCAATGAACATGTATCTCCTTTGCTGAGTGTCCAGTCAGCAACCTTCCAATCACAGGCACAGAAGGCCAACCCACTGAGCTACAAAGTGGGGGTCTGAAGAGCGTCAACAAACACAGAACTGACTGGGCCATATCGCACTGGAACAGAAGTCTGCTGTGGAGAGCAGTTAACCGAAAGGGCAGGTCAAACCCACACCTGCTTTAACATGACTCCAAAGACGTCCTGTTCTGTTATTCCAGAAATCACATGCTTTTCCACCACTGACCATTTGTTCAATATACATATCCATCTATCCATGCTATATAAAACACTGTGTTGTTTTTGTTGATGATGATCAGATCACAGTGCGGCAGCCATACTCGCAGAGATCTAGACAATTTGAAAAGGTTCATAAGCACTTTCTCATAGCTGTAGCGTTTAAAACCTGTGCATGTTGGGTCGTGACGTTAATATCTAACTATAAAGGGCTTCGCCCATCCTTCCTGCTGTGGCTGGGTGACGTTTACTGCAGGGTAAAGTAGTCCTAACACCACAGCATAAGGTGATTCATGTCACCCTAACTGTATGCATGGCGAGAGCTATTTCAGTTTTGGGTTTTTATTTCTATGTGGACGCTGTATGTCATTTGGGAGAATAAAATGTAGTAACAGAAGTAAAGTAGCATCCAAGTAGCACTGATACTTTAGTTATATTACTACGTTGCTGAACTGTGGTTCTTATGACATCACTGGCTCATCTGCATCACAATAACAAGGACAACCCCCCCCCCCTCCCAGGGGCAGACACTCCCTGTGGGAACACAGAAAATAACATAAAGCTGAACCAGGGCTGTGTAGGGGGGGCTGTAAATGGGGGGGGGGCTGTGTAGGGGGCAGGGGGGGGGGTGCTGTGTAGAGGTGTCTCAATTACAGCAGAAACACATTTTATACAAATTATGGCTGGGCAAGGATTTTACATCACAACTAAGATCATCACATAGCCTTTACACAATAGCAATTACAAAAGGGGATAAAGTATTTGGAAAAAACAACAGGATGCAGGCTCAACAAACTTAACTGACCGTTGCTAAAAGATTAAAAAGACCTACATGTGTACAGAAGTGCACTCATTTCAGTGGCTGCCTCAATTTAAGAATTTCATCCCCATAACTCAGTTGATGCAATTCCGTAGTCGTTCCAATGGCTACATTCTGCGAGTCTGCTGGTCAGCTTGTTGCCATGGCGCGTCCCGTAAGAGCATCACACGGGCTGGAAATCGAACCCAGGCCTCCCACAAAACTGGTGAGAATTCTACCACTGAACCACAAGTACTGAACTACTGTTTTCTAAAACGGGACGGATAGAAGCGTAATTACATTTACCTATTTAACAGACGCTTTTGTCCAAAGCATCAGACAAGTGAGGATCAGGCAGTCTTCCAGGACAAAGTGGTGTTAAGGACCTGACTCAAGGGCCTAGTGGTGACATCACTCTGCCAGACAGAGGATTTAAACCGGCAACCTTCCAACCATGGGCACAGAGCCCTGACCTGCAGGGCCACACACCGCTCACTTACAAAGGACTCAGCAGATAGGCTCACACCTTCAGGGCTGAGGGACTGGATCCAACCCCCGCTCTAAGGGAGAGGAGTTTACATGATCTCCAAATCGGGATTTCCTACAGATATTCGGATTTTGTATCACAGTCAAAAAATTGAATCAGCATCTTGAAATATGTGTGTGATTCCGTGTGGGACTGTGTGCTTCCCATCCAGGGTGTCCTTTGCTCATGGCTCGTCCATTCTGGGATAGGCTCCAGAATCACCAAGACCCTGTACTGGGCAAACAGCCCATACCTCACACTGCCCTAGCAGCAGTGTACAGTGGGGATACGTAGCTAACAGCCCATACCTCACACTGTCCTAGCAGCAGTGTACAGTGAGGATACGTAGCTAACAGCCCATACCTCATACTGCCCTAGCAGCAGTGTACAGTGGGGATACGTAGCTAACAGCCCATACCTCACACTGCCCTAGCAGCAGTGTACAGTGGGGATACGAAGCTAACAGAAGGTACCTGACAGTGCCCTAGCAGCAGTGTACAGTGGGGATAAAATTAGCATCCATACCTTGGACTGTGGCTAAGCAGCAGCCGCAGTGATGTCAGGTCTCCCTTGGCAGCGGCATAATGCACTGGAAGTGCGCCAGTGTCCGTGGCGACACTGGGGTCGCCTTCGCCACTCTGCAGCAGCCAGTCTGTGACCTCATGGTGGCTGAAGCGGGAAGAAAGGTGTAGGACCGTAGCCCCTGAGCTGTCCCTGTCCTGTTGGGGGAACGGGGGGGGGGTCACAGTGAGGGATTTGACACATACAGAAGACAAACATTATAAATGCAGAAGTAACTGCATATTGACCTGCTTTAAGCATTTTTCATAAAATATTTTATGATGCCCATTAAATTATACAAATGTTATTTGCTTCCAACTGCTAATCCTGGTCAGATCTGCATGATGTAGATGAAAGATATGTCAATTATTTGTCTTATATTATTTTAAACTAAAATCAAAAAGTTGACATATACCCTGATTGCTGCCAGCAGACAAATCGATGAAATTCCCGGCTTTAAAAAAATGGTCACAATATCGCAGATGATAATTATTATAACTAAAGATAAAAAGACAGCTTAAAATGTACTATATCATAACACTGGTGAATTCTCAAGTCTGAAGGGTGTTGATAAATTTTCTATACCCACACACACACGCAGTGACAGCCAGGCAAATCACAGTAGTGAATCATCCATCCCTTTTCTGTAACCATTTATCCTATTCAGGGTGGGGGGGGGGGAGGTCCAGAGCCTATGGACACAAGGCAGGGAACAACCCAGGACAGGGTATCAACCCACCACAGGGACACTCACACACACTCACACACGCTCACACACGCTCACACACGCTCACACACACTCACACACACTCACACACAACAGACAAGTTGATAACTCCAATTCACCTCAGCATGTCTTTGGACTGTGGGGAAAAACTAGAGTGTCTGGAGGAAACCCCACAATGACACGAGGAGAACATGCACACCCTGCCAGAGACTCAAACCGAGACCCCAGAGGCATGACGGAACCCCCAGAGGCGTGACGGAACCACCAGAGGCGTGACGGAACAGCATTAACCACGACTCTCCGTGCTGCCGGTAGCTAATCGATGCGCTACTATCATTTTTAATTCGAACCCTTCTTAAAATTAGAGAAGTACAACACAATTTCAAATTAACATAAACTAAAGGGAAATGTTTAATTATTGGCAAAAGAAAATAATTCTATTATTAAAAACATTTTCAGTTTGTAAACATGAAAATAATGTCTTCAGGAACAAACATGTAGTAACTGTGATATAAGTGGGTTAATGTAACCATGTTTAAAAATATTTCATGCAAAATGCTTATCGTGCATAAACACTTACATAATAAATACAAAATAAATAGTGTATAGTACACTTATAGTGATAAGCATGAGCAAAGAAAATGAACACTGATAACATTAAGAACAATGGAATACGCAGACACACAGTACACAGATAAGTAACTTAAGCTGCAATCCAGCTGTGAAGAAGTGGCCCAACATTTCAGCCAATGGTGCAGAGTTTTAAGTGGGAGTTCTGTTTAAATGTAAACCTTTTCCATCTTCCATGACTTCCATGACCAGTATAGGGTCTCAGTCTCAGGAAGCAGAAGGTCCATGACCACCCACGCACCCACTCGAGGGCTGCAACAACTCCTCAATAACATCGAAAATCGTGGGAAAATCAGTATCAACAATTTTGTCACCGACTGGTTGCATCTTTGGTTGCTGCGTAAATTGCATATAATGACCTCAGCTAGTAACATTAACACTGGCGTGTCAAGCCGAGTTCTTACTTCGCTTTTCTGCGTGTGGTTTATGTCGTTCTCACTTTCGTGTTTATACTGCATTTGTCTGTGGACACAGAGAGCTACGGGGTGAGTATCCTGAAGGCGCCTTAATGCTACGTCGTTCGTAAGTTCTATGTTAAAAGGCAGAACTTATGAAGGACGTAGCGTTAAGAAGACTCGGTCTGTACAGACACACAGCAATGATCTTCAGCCAGACCAGCAGAGGGCAGAAGCATTGCAATAAACACAAACTCAAGTGGTGCAGGGGAATGGGCAAGCTTATACCAGGCTTGACTGGTATTGCGGTACAGTGGTATTTTGAAATCTTGGTGACAAAACAAGCTAAGATCCTGCCCCCCATTTTCTATCGTCAAGGTTTCAAAATGCTGGAATAGCGGTGCTTTTGAAAATACCGTGCAAGTTTAATATGGAGGGGACAGCAGACCTTTGCTTCTAAGCCACTTTGTCACTGTAAATGAAGATCATCTACACCAGAGGTCACCAACCTTGCTGAAACTGAGAGCTACTTCACGGGTACTGAGCCATACCAAAGGCTACCAGTTTGATACACTCTTCTTAAATCATGTATAATAAACATGTTTTAAATGCTTTTTTTGTCATTTTCAAATGTATATAAATGCAAATGTGATTAAAGAAGAATAGCAACAGGATAAAATAAAAATTTTAGACGCTGCTCACTGGTGAGTTGTGCTATTTTTAGAACAGGTCCGCGGGGGACTCATGTGGTCCTTGGGGGCATCCTGGGGCCCGCGGGCACCATGTCAGTGACCCCTGATCTACACTGTGTAAAGTTACTACAACTGTGACTTAAAAAATACCGCCTGTTTTGTTTTTAATGAAGCATTTGCACTTTTCCTTAATGCTTATGTGTTGGCCAAACTAATCGATTAGTTAATTGCTTGATCACATGATTAATCCTTTACCGATATAATCGGTACATGATTGGCTGTGCAGGCGAACAGCCTGGTTGTGTTAATGGGCAGGTGCAGGGCTGTAGCAAGGAGTTCTGGGGCCCCGGAGAAAATGTCACCTTTGGGCCCCCTCAGTATTTTGCTGACTAGGTCCTTTCCAGTCCAGAACCCAGGAACACTGGAAAACATACCCCCCCCCCAGCAACAGCCCCTGAGCAACTGTACCTAATACACTGGCCCCTAAATGTAAATATACATTCACATGCTCATCATAGAGGCTTTAGTCCAAATTAAAATTGCAGTTAAATGTCCACATCGTCTATTAATTGACATGGTATCAGAAGTGACTTTTCTAATGACTACATCTGAAAGTTCAGCTTAATGAGTCTTAATTAAATGATTTTTTAACAGCTTATCCTCGACTGCACCTTTAACGACAAACGCTTGGCTGCGGATTGGCATCAGGCGAAAGGCACTCTGGCACATTTCTACTGATTAGTTGTTCCACTGGGCTAATTATGCTGCAGCTCAGTAGCTCATAAAGCGGCTGCATGGTTGGTCTGAATGCCCAGAGGATCATCTCCCACCTCCCCATCCAGCTTATGTCATGAGCTGTTAGCAGATTTCCTTTGGCGCCGGAGAAATGGTTCAAAAAGTCAGGTTGGGGGAGGAAAGCCAATTACAGCTCCCTGTGGGTGCATCAACGACCACTCTGTCCTCGGGTGTCGTTCAATCTGCGCCCCCCCCCCCCCCCCCCCCACCATAAACCTCCGACACCATCTACAGCTGGAGTGAAATATTACAGTAACCCTCACAAACAACGAACGCCCATTTGCACCAGAAACACTGACTTCGCTCATTTCTGCATAAAGACAAAAATGGTGATTTCAAGCAATAGGTGCAAATAGAAAATGTACAATGGAACAGCAATTAGAAAACACAGATTTAATTACCTAGCTTAATGAGACAGTGTGTCATCACCATCCTGACATCCCCGTGACTCTTCAGTGCTGCATTTTTGTGTTTCACAATGTTCACTTTTATAAAAAAAATTGATTATAACTAGCACTATTTTCTATTAAGCGTATCTGTTTAGAATCTAACTTTTTTTCCTGTGAGTATATTTTCCCCACAAGAGAACAAAACTTCTGTAACTGTTTTTAAATTTTTCTTCGATATTTTTTGAGTACTCTTGTGACGATATACTGAATGTATGTATTTTAAATGGTAAAGACAAGGTCAGCTTTATTATCTTAGTGCTGTGTCGTAATGACTAAAGCATAAGCACCGTTACTACGGTTAGATCATGTAATTATCTGAACAACGGAACTGTAGTTATAAAATACAGTATCAGCTTTTCACTTTATAATGAAATCTATATAGGTAGAGATTTCTCAAAAGAATGAATCTATTTGTTTGAAGCAGTTTTACATTCATACATCACGTCAATATATATACGATTGTATGATGCAGGGCTGAAATAACTTTCCAGCTTTATTTACCTTGGCGCGGCATCCGCCGCGCTCCAGAAGCCACTGCAGACACGCCAGGTGGCCGGTGGCGGCGGCGTCGTGCGCCGGACTCGCTCCGTTTCTCGCCTCGCAGTTACCGGCCAGTTCAGCCTCCTCCACCAAGTAGCGCAGACAGCTGAGCCTCCCCGTCCGGGCGGCGTGGTGCACGGCCGTGGCGCCGAAGGCATCCTTTACGTCGCCATGCAGCGCCCGCTGCGCCAGCTGCGCCTTCAGGGTCTGCAGGTCCCCGCTGCGCGCTGCCTGCAAAGTCCGCTCCACGGGCGACGTCATTTCCAGCGCCTCTTAATATAATGCCCTTTAAAACGTCTATAAAAGTTCAGCTTATATAACTGATTATTTTACTGAGACGGTCCCTTTACTAGATTACTTTCCATCGCCCCCACTATCTTTTAATCCTGAGCCCCGCTCTACAAGGTATAACATAGCGACTGTTAACGGCGGCAATAAAGTGTCCTACTTGTTTTCATCTGTTGGCACGTGATAAGCGACGGTCCCACTTTAATGTAAAATGTTCTCGCGTTCACTCACACACTTTGGTCTAAAAATTTGCACTTTAATTCTGCATCATTAAATGCACATAAGGACAAATGCAAAACTACACATTTACCCAGCAGCTTGCGATATAACGATATATTTCGCTTAACGTAACAAATAAGTAAATGCTGCAGTTTTACGGTCCTCCTCAGCGCACGCGGGGCATTAACAGTGCACGCGGAAGTCAGCTCTTCTCTTGCAGGATCTCGTTTGCCAGCGCATTTCTTCGCAGTGTTATAAATCTGAAGACGGTCTGCTTCGTTTTATTTTCGTTTGCTGAAATAAACACGTCTCTGGGCTCCTCTTATCGCGGCTGCTTCAAATAGCTCAATGGACTCTGTCACTTGTTGAATTATCTATGACGGGTACCGGGTTGCCAGGTGTATCCCTGTGTTCTCCGGCTGGTCACTTGTTGCATTATCGGTTTACAGCTCCTTTATTGTGGAAGGATTTCTTCTTAATCCTGGTGCTGGTCTTACTGTGCCCGTCACCTTTTTTCCAACAGAGGTTCTAATTTGACTAATTCTTATTATTTTGTCTCCTGATTCCATTATAACTATGATCTGACACGTTTTATTTTTGTGCATAGCTCACGATGATAAATGCTTTTAATTAGCTATTTTTTGTTCACGAATAAATGATTATCTTGCGGCAAGTCAGTTATTTAAATTATTTAACATTTTCATACTTTTCCAGTAAGTATATACTCTGATTAATTAGAGGCTATTGCTCATGTTGTATGACACTTTTAAACAATTTATTTTAAGGCTAAAAACGACCCATTTATGTTCATGTTATTGTTCTGAGGGGTCGATATATTTATTTTTCATCAGTAGCATATTTTCACAAGTCATGCTCAAGACACTATATATGCTCTCCTTGACTTATTTGTATAGCCTAAATGAGCACGTGCTGTAAAAGACAATGCGTGAGTGACACGATCATTTAGGCTGTCCTGTGATGGGTTGGCTCCCCGTCCTGGGTTGTTCCCTGCTTTGCCCTGTATAGGTTGCGGGTTCGGTTCAGGACATCAGTGACTCTGCGTTGGACAAGTGGGGATGGGAAATGAATGGATCAAAGCCATCCAAGGGGTGGCTCATTCGTTAACTGTGCACGGACTGTTACAAACACATTTAAATGTCAAATAAAAAACAGATCTAGCAGATCTGCATTTCATTTTGTTGTTGTTGTTGCTTATATATGCTCCTTTATTTGCATGTACTAGATTACAATAAAACAGTAGACATCAGATTGTCCATGATTTTATGTGATGCTTTAAAGGTGGTTCTTCACTTACTATACTATACGTGTTAATCTGGTAAAGTAATAACACATACTCTCTAAGATTTTCTGTTTCACTGTCTCTATGTGCGCCCAGACGTTACAGATGTGAAGCAACAAACAACCACAAGAATTGTGCATTTTTGACAGAAACGGCCCCTGTGTAAGAGAATGCAGCTGCTGGATAAGTCCAATAAGAAGACTGTGTCTATGCTGTCGTTGTCGATGATGTTAAAAAAGCATAATGCCTGTGAATACCGACGTAACCCACAATTTAACATTTGAATGCGCAAAACTGCAAACTAAAGTAAAAACGATATCAAGAAAAGTATCTGTTCATTGGCCTATTGATTTTACTTTATTTTAATGAAGTTGACGGCCGCAATTAATTGCAAATCGTAGCTATTTTTTAACAAGTTTAATTTTTAACGAATTTATTGCACTACCAAAGCATACCACAAGATGGCAGGCAGACTTTCGTTTTGAATCGCACTAAGCATATGAAGGGTTTTATTTAGTTCAGCTACGCTTGCTCTGCATTAAGTGGGTTTAAGCTACTTAGTACACAGAGCATGGAATAATTATTTTTGAACACAACCATAACAGGAATGTGATTTCGTGGGAATTAAGCATACAGCATTAGCCTGTTCGTATTTCGACCACCATTATTGACCTCCCAGGAGACTGTTAGTAATTGTCTTGTTAAGACCGCGTTAAGCCCACCGAACAATAACTGATCACTGTCTATTCATTTTCCAACCCCGTGCTTCCCTGGAGACTTTAGCCTCGTGTCTGACGCGTGCCGCGCGGCAGTCTGTTCCTATTGTTCAGCATGAAACGGACACCAGTCGCCCTGGCCACTTTCTGTACGCAGTCAGTCAATCCCCAGAGATCCCATGGGGGTTTCCGTGTAAATTCACAGGCTTACAAATCCATATCCAACTACATGTATGGATAGAGCTGTTATTTTCCATTCGGTTACATTTTGGTATTTTCATTTGAAATAACAATTTATACAAGAATGAAAGACTGGTTTGGTCATTATAATGATAAATCATAATCAAAACTAGTGGATAACAGTAGGCCTATAAAAGTATATACATAGTCTAGGTCCAAATATAAAATGCGGACTTTTACTAAATTAACTACGTGATCTAATGATGACGTATTTTATAAATTAATACACAATTGCATATATGTATATAGCCTATGGGTGTATATGAAAACATATCAACGCATCCAGTACAATATCTGTTGTTTATTCATAAGGGATTCATAAATTAGCGTGACGACACTGAAAGATATTAATGAGTAACCACACTGAAGTCTGGAAAAGCGGGTATATTTGTTGCACGCGTCAGACGCGTGACAGTTATTCAAATATCCTCCAATTACACTGAGCTTTTGCCAGACTGAGACCCCATTGTAACAGCCATCTGTTGATTAGATGTTCTCGACTGAAACTAGAAACGCTGAAGGGAGTTTATTCATGAATTGACTTGTTAGCATATTGTATTTCTTTTTAAAGTAAAATATTTTCACAGTGAAAACGCATAATGCCCTGTATATTTGCATGTACTCTCTTGAAGGTTGCAGACCAGACCAATAGCTTCTTTCCCCCGTTCTTTAAACTTTCTAGGAGACGCTAACCACGGACTTGTGCATAGCCTTCACGTGGCCTACATGTTCAATTTATTTATTGTTGCATTAATAGGCCTATTACAATATAAATGCAATAGCATATATATGGAAATTAATATCAAAACAGAATCACGTGTTAGGCTACATGAAAATGCAAACCCACTAAATCAAACATTAGACGCCATCAGAAAGTACATTTGAATCAACTATTTTGCTATTAATAGGTTTTACAATTTTCAACCCTTTTTTTCAATATACGTAATAATTATTGGAGTAGAACACGTTAACTCTGCAGAGAATTCCTTCACTGCAGCCCGTGCCTCTACATTCTCAGCGGGAGTTCCCATCTGGCGGGTCCCCTTTTGTGTCGCGTGCCGTTAATTATTTTGGTTGAGTGAACGTGAGCACCTCTGGGGATTGACGCAGCGCCTGAGGCTCAGCGTTTTAGCTTGGTTGTCTTAACGGACGTTTATTTCAGGGTTCGCTTTATTTGTGGCTATTATGTTTTTGTACATTGGATGCAATATAGATTATATTCCCCACAATTTTTTTTCTGGCATGAAAACCCAAAGCTCTGTTAATCCCTACATAACTTTGAGTAAAGATTATTAAGTGTTTTTGCGGAATCTTATACATAAGATGCATAATTGTTGATTATTCTTTTAGCACGCCACTACTGTAAGGTGCACCTGCTTTAGTTGTGGGAATTCACGTATATATTAGATATAATGAATGTATGGAGAAAGCGGCTGTTGAATTGAGCGTCATTTCATTGTGTACTTTATGCCAGCATATTATGAACCATCGTGTTGGTATTTTCAGAATCATTTTGCTTGTTCGTAATCGTTCAGAATGCGTTTTGTCAATGTTGTCTTTATTACTTCCCAATGCTGCATTCTTTATTTTCGAAAGAAGCACACAAAGTCCATAATATTGCCTTTTCCAGACATCGGTTTATGTGGCAATGAAGGCCAGTCATTCGGGCATGTATTTTGGTAACACGCGCTTTGATTTTCAGTGAGCATGAAATGTTCAGTGAGCATTAAATGTTGCAAGTTGCACGCGGTTTTCAGGACAAAGAGAAAAAGAGACACGGAGACTTTGGTTTTAATGAAGTTGGATAAATCGTAACTGCAGCTTGTCTCTCCTCTCCAACAAGGCTCTTCCACTGCAGCTTGCACGGCGGATCGCCTGACCAAAAACAAATCACTACCACAAACAGAACATTTTAAATTATACAAGTATATTTGTTTCTTGTGAATACTATGCTTGGATGTGTAATTCATACAGATCAGGATTCGGCAGAGTAATTTATCTTGCATTTACTATTTGACACACATACTCCCTTAACTGCATTTCTACTGTCCATGCTGATATACTCTTACAAGTTACTATAATTAGAAGAGGAGTAGGAAGCCCGCTGGATCCCGGCACGTCAGGATCGGGTCACCTACCCCGGCAAACTTATGACTTATAGAATATACAATGTCAAGGGCCTGATATTTAACAAAACAGCATGTACACATTGTATTTCAGCTTGTAGTGTGAATAAGCAGATTAATTTTTTACTTAGTCAAAAAAAAAATTATAGATTGGGCTGTTTCCCAAAGGTTGGTCCTATAAAGAGAGAAACATTGATAGTAGATTGCTAATAAATTGTTCAAATGACCATTGGAGATTCGGGAAAATTAATTTTCGTCAACAGCTGACACAAGATCAGTAAGATCAGAGAGTTTCTAGTAGTTCTACAGGAATTACTTTGGAAAATTTGAATTCTGCATGTATGGTTTTGTCTGGATTGTACAGTCAATGCATTCGTGACAAATATAACCTGCTTACTTTAATATCTATGTATTAACAAAACTAGCTTTATTCAACAAAATAACAGCACCATTTCTTTAATATATAAACTTCAAACTTTAAATGTAAATTGTATAATACCTGCTGCTGATTGTTATGATTACTGAGATAGGACTGTATCTTTGTACAAAAAAATTTCAGAGAGCAGTGTTACTGCATAATGTTGCAGATAATAAGCACACTTAACAAACAGTATACAGCACAATATATATCACATTTGTTTCAGTGTATTTTGTTGCAATATGTTATGCTGAGGAACAAGTTTTGAAAAACAAAACATCAGGGAAAACATTTTTAATGTTCAACTTATGCGAACCCCCCTAATTGGACAGGTCATGTTTTAAACTGTGCGCTGTCTTGCGGAATCACTTCACGGCTAAAGTTAAGCGTAGGATCTGAAAATGACGGGCGCGAAAATTCCACTTACCGGACGTGCCTGTGGTCGCGCGACGCACGTGGGGCTGTCCGGTATTTCCGTGCCCCACCCTTGCACTGATTACAGACTTAGGTTTCTTAATATTATATAAAAACACAACAATAGTAACATTCATCGG